GTTCATTCCGCTTCATTAAATTCACTATTGTTGTCAGAGACCGATGAGTCCTCCTTATATATGTGTGTACATTCAAACTAGTAAACACCGTGGGATGTGACATCATTTTTCGCATGTTCAAAGGGCTCAGATGGATATATTGGCTTAACACTCTTAATTATTATGATATTAGCTGCATAAAAGGTCTTTTTAACGGCAGCGTCCAATCTTTGTCTAGTTATCAAGCTGCTATGATCACGCATATAGAGTAGCTTGATGTACACGTCTTTCTTAGGGGCGAGGTGTAGAGTGGGTCTTGGTGTTCTGATTACTTTATATCTCCTGATTAACTTGTCTGGATAATTGTTATCAACCAGAGTTCGTGTCAACTTTCTTCTTCATCAAGTGTGTGTTCAGTACATATTTGTTGGATTCTACTAAGAGGCACCTTACTAAGGCTCTTTTGTACCAAACAGGGCAGAAACTGTGTTAATTAAGATATTGTCCTGTCCAGGTAGGTTTTCTATAAATGGATCGTTTTATTGACTTATCAAGTCGTCGACTAAGCAATATGTCTAGGAAAGATAAACAATTATCTTCCTCTACTAAAGACGTCAGTGATTCGCTATTCTGAACTTCATTCATTCGATTTAAAATTGGGGTGGCAGAATAAGGTTTATCACATGATTACAGTGTCGTCTACATACCTTCTATAAAAAGGCACATTTTCGATTAAATCCTCCGATAAACTCTCAATGTACGACATATCTGCTAAAAGAGGCCCTAAAGGACTTCCCATAGCAACATCATGAACCTGGCGGTAACAATCGCCTTCAAATATAAACCAAACATTGCTAATACATAGAAGTAATAAACGTGTAGCGCAAATACATTACACGATTTAGACAAATTACGTCTTCTTATTGTTTTGTCTAAATTCATAAAGGGAACTAATTGTTTTAAACCATAATTCTTATTTCATCATTATTATTACTGTTATTTGTCATTCTTAGAATTGCGTCTAGCCAACCCCATTTGTTGGTGTTTATTTTGTCTCTCACACCAGTGACTACAATTCACGCGGCAATAATTTTGCCCTAAATATTATCAATAAACAAAAACTTACCATTGTGTGTAAACTGTTGAAATATAATTATAATTCATTTGATCTATTCCACAATGCTCAAACATTATTACAACTCACGCCTTGGTACCAGTAATTTGTTGATGACAAAATCATGAACACGTCACTGAATTATTTAATTAAATTTTATTTTATGGCCTTCTTGATCATATATTTTATATTGAATTAAACCACATTCAGAACTCACTGACTAATTTTCCATCTTGTACTTTCTGGTTTAATTCTAATTTACCTTTACTGGATATTTTACGGTGAAATTAATTGATTTATAATTGTAGAGCCTGAAGAAATATTTACTGTAACAAATGTTGCCTCTAATGTTTCTTCTAAAAAAGTACTATAAAATAAAACACCAGGTTAAACATGAGACGTGTTTATCCCTCCATCTTCCTACTGTCAAAGTATATTAATGTCAAGTTAAAAGCACTCTTCAAAATATTTAACTTTGATACATAAGTGAGTTTTAGGCCATTATTATTTATTTTATTTTGTTCCTTTATGTTTCCACTGGGACATAGGGCTTCAAGATAGAGCTTTGAAGTTTCGGTACCAGTGGTGTTTATTTTTACGGGATTTGGTTGCCAGCCACATGCCCAACTTTCCCTCTTCACCAGTCTTATTACTGGCTTACTGATTTAAGCAGTGCGCTGACCGGGAATCGAACTCTGGACTACTTGTGTGGTTGGCGAGCATTCTACCTCTGTACCACTGACTCGTTAAGTATTATACACATTTTGGTTTAATACTTGTCAAACCTTACTTTGTTTGTAATAAGGTGAAAACCCAAACATCCAAGATACTACTAATCGCAGTTGTCAGTAAACAAATCACTGAGTTAAATCCATAGTTTCGTGCCTATTTTCTTTTCAAATTTCATTAAGAAATATCTACTTAACTTTCTCCATTATATTCACAAAATGTATGCATCCTATAACTCAAAGGCTTTGTTCCATTCAAAATGTTGTAGTCGAGCTCAGTTTAATCGGAATCCAAAACAATATATCCCCTCTTTTAGTATGTGAATTATTCATTTTTAGTTGTGTTTTTTTTCAAGGACAAAACTGACCTAATCAACATACTGTTTGGTATACAAATGTTTACTTTTCATTATTTTCTGTGGCTGACATGTTTCCTCGAAGATTTACTATTCACATGATATTTTCTTTGTAAAGCTTATGTGTACAAGTTGTTCGCGGGGTGGAAGTGGCACACAACACACAAAAGAGAGATGTTATTTAGTATTATTAATGCCATTTAATTAGGGCTATAGTGCAGTCTTTTCACCATTCTCTGAAGAAAATGTGACTCCTTGACTTTTGAAGTCAATAAATGACCCGTTACCAAGCGATTTTTAATAGTTCTTAAGTTTTTCTACCTTACATCACACCTCCAGATATTTTGAACAAAATTCTTAACTAAATGATAATGACATCTGATCTATCAAAATTTTAATCGAATATGTTCAACGCAATAAAAATAACCATTTGATTCATATTCTGTTTGTTCTAAAAGTGAAAAACACCCAAATATTTTCCTTAAAATTTGGTTTTATTTATATCTAAAATAGTGTACAGTATCAAAATAGTATTTCTGAGCAATATAAAGTAAACATCATTCTTCTCATCAGTGAGGTGGAAGAATTTCTTTCAAACTGAATTCTTAACTGCTTCGTTGTCATTTTTGCTGATACACTGTATAAAAGCAAAACAAATGATAAATTCTGTTTCCCAACTTTTAAATGCGAACATACATGAACACTGTATTTATTCAAATGAACATCTTTAGTCAGGACAGTAGATAAACAGACATTTTTCTCGTGAATATTCCCTTTCTTTCATCAAAATTCAGATATCTGCTTCGTTGTTCGCTTAGGTAAAGTAAGATCAATAATTAATGCATTCACTCTGCTTGTTTGTACTTCCACCGTCTTCTTTGATGAATTTTCACTTTCATTCATGTTATTGTTATTATTAGATTTATCGAGGGAGCAAACAAAGAATGGAGGAGGCTGAGATATCATTTTAGTATATTGTAAAAAGAAACAACTGGATATGATACTGAATGCAAGTTTTGTGATAAGCCAAAAGAAATAGCACAGTTGGTCTGAAATCATATTTTACATTAATCATCAGATCTGTAGCGTTAAAATTTGAAATTTTGATAAAGAGCTATTTTTGAAGCACAGTGTTATTGGAGCAAAAAACACAGGAAACGTGAAAAATATCAAGAAAGAGTGTCCTTGGATGCCAAGTATAAAAATATTTGGACAACATGAAAACTTTGCCTACAGTAACTCATTGAAAACACAGTAGACGTTTCAAAGTTTGTCATTGTGCTTGTGAATAGTGATGAAAATATTCTAATTGTTACTTTAATGAAAGACGATTAATTAGTGCGTCGGTGACACAGCGCCGACCATGCGCATGGTCCGTGTGTCGATCTCCTGGCAACGCACACCTTATATCGTATGTCGACCTGCAAAATTTGGGCTGCCGATATCACATGCTGAAAATTCCATACTTCTACCAAAAATATGGTGTGGAATCAAGCTACAATCAAAATGTTTTTTAAAAATTAGATTAAAAATTGTATAGTATGTAAATGTATTGTCATAGTGCCTAAATTCTTAACCTACACCAAAAATCCTTGTATAACCTCTGGTGTCTTCGTATTAGGAATAAAAACGTGTTGTAAATTATCCTCATTATCAAATCACATCTATTCTTTTAAACGGTTATCGTTATTTTTTTCCTGGTGCAGCGTCGCACATTACTTAGTGATTTCAGATGATGAGTAGCATTCTTGCAGTTGTCCAATATTACTGTGATGTTAGTGAATTACTTTATATTGCGAAAAAAGCTTACCGACTAGACTGTCGGCTAGATTTTGAAACAACATTTAAACATCAGTTTACAACTTTTGAATTTGAAGAATTTCCTTCCATGATTTCAACTTTTGTATATTCTCATATACATATGTATAAACTTTAATGGAAATAATAAGTGCTTCATATTTTCTAAAGTAACCAATCACAGAAAAGTTAAAAATGATGTTTTAGTAGATTTCCTCTTCATCTTAAATAAATAACTGATTAAATTGACGTCCTTAAAATGTTTAATTCAGTAGGACAAATACTTTAATTTGGAATAAACAACACTAATAATAACCTAATTAGTCATTATTAAAATAGTGTAGTCTAGAAAAATTATTGCTTGAATAATGATATTCTGAAGTTTCTGAACTATGCGTAGCATACAATGCCTCCTAGAACTATAGTGAAATTTCTGAGTCGGTAGTTTCCAGTCCATAAGAGAACTCCATATTTTCAAGAGTGTTTTCGTCGGGATTTGATTTGTTTCAAGTTTGATTACGTATTAATATCCGCTACAGAACACTTGAAAACCACGGAGCACTGGACATCTGTTTCATCCCAGTTTAAGCCTCACAGACAGTATGCACCCACCGGGTTTCAAGCGCAGAGCCTTTCGGTTACAAGAGAAGCTCGTAGACCATCCAAGCACTGGGACGCGACTTAGTGGTTCATGAGTTCTAATTTCTACCATTTCGTGAATTTAAAGTGACTAACACCAACCAATGTCATTGGTGAGTATTTGACCTCACCTCCGACCGGGTGAATCCCACTGGTCACGACTTCTCAACAGGACTCTAATCAGCTTCATCCTGCAACCAGTCAGTAGCCAGCATCAGCATATTTTATCAAAAGCCGCCTTTTCACTTGTTGCATAGTGAAAAAAGATTGAGAACTCTGGAGTCATTAAAATTTTATTAAAGTCAATCAGTGTGAAATAAAAAAAATCGACTACAAATGGACGGATGTATTTTTAGATTTTTTATTTTTGTTTGTTTCTTTATACAGGTCGACATCATCTACAATGTCAACTTCACCGATGATGAAAACTGACATAGAACCTGGTTTTAAGTTAATTTTAACAGCCATAACAGACGGTAAGTGAGATGGACGTTTACAGACTATCTACTTAATTTCCAAATTAAATTTATTTTTTATTGCTCTTGATGATAACTTAGAAATAAATTTTTAAGTACACTTTGTAATACTGTTCTTAAGTGATGAACTGTCAAATCATATTTATTATACTATGTTGAGACTCATTCTTCCTTTTAGCTCCATTTATCACCTATATGACGGTAAAGCGTTCGTCTTCAATACAGTAAAGGCTATTTTGAATATCAAAATTCGAACAAATGTCAAAGACTTTAAGATGATGGGTGATTTTCCGCACAGTGAAGTAAAAATTATTTCTCCCCATAAAACTTTTCAATTAAACTTAATTAACGAACGCTATCTTATAAATTTCCTAAGTATGTGACCAAAAAATCTCAATAAGCAGTTGCATTCACACCTATGAATGTTTTCAACAATGAATTCACTTATTCCCTTCTTCATGGTTTGATATTATCAGTATCAGTAACACATATAGCTCTTTCTAGCTTCCGCAGAACATATTAGCAATTAGATATGCTCATAAGAAATGCAAAATATAGCGCAAAATTAAGTTTGTTTCATTATCTGAGTATTGACACTGTAGAGATAAAGATAATATATAAAACTTAAAAATAAAAACCTAAAATAATTCAAGGTCTAGCAGAAAAAACAAACAGATAAATTCAAGAGATCCACTGCATTAAGAAAGACAAATGAATTTGTGTTGACCATCGTCTTTAACTTTGAGGTCATGTCATCTGAAACTTTAGCAATAGGCTCCTAGAATTTTTAACAGTTGGTTTGGAAAGATTAAATTTGTTTTTATGAATTTGATCACAGATTGATATCAGTGAGAGAAACATTGAAAACCAAGGAGTACTGCCAGACAGCTGTTTCATTATTCTAGTTTGGGAATCATCAACAGTACGCATCCACCCTGCAGGGGATTCAAATCCAGGACCTTCCAGGTACAAGACCAGAGAGCTCGTATACCATTAGGTCACCGGGACTCGATTCACTGGCCAGCCCATGAATTCTATCCCCACAAACCAACTAGTGAAAATTAATCTGATGCTCGCTAGTGACTTTCCACAGGACGGAATTCCCTGGAGTTCAAGTGAAAATTAGTGACCAGTGAGGTCCATCCAGTCAAGCGTGAGGATGGATGTCCCACCGATGACATTGGTTGGTGGTCGCGCTAAATCACGAATTGTTCGAAGTTAGAATTCATGGGTTGGCCAATGAATCGGGTCCTATAGGCTGAATGGTATACAAGATTGCCCTGTGACCGGAAGGTCCGGGTTTGAACCTCAGTGGGTGCTTACTGTCGTAGAACTCTGTTGATATCATACTGAAAGTCCAGTGACCTGAACCGAATGATCCCATGCTTCTGTATCACCTCTTTGTCCAGTTACACTTATCACGTTTTCAGACTGATTTTACTTCAGGCGATAGAACAATCTTCCCTATTATCATAACCTTGAAGGACTTAATCATGAATTTTGACTAAAATCTTGAAAATTATCTTTCAATACTTCTATTGCTGATAGAAAGGTACTGATTTTTACAAATACAGCTTCTTAGTCTGAAAAAATAGTTTAATGATGGGAAACCTTCAGTGTTATAGATCTTACTCTGTAAAATGACTGCCGTTTATTTATGCTGAAAGTTACTGTTTGATTTTTTGTTGGTTATCAGTTCATGATATGAACTTAAAGTTGAGTTTTTCAAAAGCTTTCACCCTAGTTAGCCTCCTTTATGAGTGATCATTAATGTTAAATCAAGTTCACAATTTGAAAATTAGTTCAAAATATACACAGTTCAAAGTGTTTATTCCATTACCGTTTCCTTTAGAAACCGTGATTATTTAGATTACAATATGTGATCTGCTTGATGCCATAAATGGTAATCGAAAAATCCAAGAAACTACTTGTCTCAGTCAATCAGTAGTTCTTACTACCCAGATTATCAAAATAGTTTAAACACCAGACGGCCGTCTCGCTCGTTTTCGGCCAAGCTTATTATCGGTGTGCCCGATTTTACTCAGCTCAGAAAGTTGAAAGAGTTCAAACCACATCAAGCACTAATGGTTGATTTGAATGGTCTTCAACTACTTATCTTGATCACTCAGTGGTATATATAGTTTTGTACCATTAGTATTGTTGGCTTTTGATTCGGGGAGAGAATCCGTTGTGAAAACAGTAGAAATAACTGCTAGAAGTAACATTCAGTCGTACTAACAATGTTAAAATATCCAGATTACTAATATCTTGTAAAATATTCCTAAACACTAGGTAAAGCTTTATCAAACTAAAAGTCAAAAGACCTATGTAGGTGCAGCTTTAAAAATAAATACGATTGTCGTTTAGATTATATGTGCGTCGGTGGTACAGCGGTTAGGGCTGTCGCCGACCATGAACATGATTCCGGGTTCGATTCCCTGCCGACGTACACCCGATATCAATGGTCGGCCCTCAGATTTTGGAATACCGGTATCACATGCTGAAAATTCCATACCTGTACCAAAAATACGGTGTGGAATCAAGCTGTAATCAAAATTTTAAAAAATAAAATTTATGTAACCGTCACAAACAAAGTGTAAAATATCCAGTAGGCAAAACACAATGCCTTCTTTAAACAATCACACTACTCAGAACGAGATCAGAAACTAGAATGCCTAATAAATAAAAGCTGGTTGAATGTCTACATAACGACTAAGTAGCCAACCAGAACTACAAAACAGTTAACTATCACTTCGTTTAGATAACTATATTGAATAAATGCGTTTTATTCTATGTGATCTAAAACAAACATACACTGGTGTGCTAGGAAATAAGGGTTAGTTACCACAGAAGACATAAGAGATAGTTAAAACTTGCTGAAAATCTACTCTTTCTTGTTTCGTCATAACTCATGTATAGATAACTAAACGCACATCAAATGAAAGCACCAAGACAAGACCGTACAGACATTTTGTCATCCCCTTACTTTCTAAATAAATAGAAAGTTGCTTAAATAACAGCTGAAGGTCGTATAACAAAAGAATCCAGAGTTTACTGGCTAACCAGGTAGGCGCATAATGTTAACGAAGACTGTAATCGCTGCAGAGAGAAAAATATAATAAGAATTCATTACATCAACCTGAAAAATATAAATTATGTTGGCAGGAAGGTTGTTTACTTGACAGTTCTGAATCTGCCAACCACTTAATTACAACTATTTAACGTAGAAACAAACCGAAAGGTTTTGATTTTATTCTCTAAAATATGAAGTTTTTAATGCAGCTAATGAAAACTGACACTTACATATATCTCGAAATCACTAGAATATTTCTTATTATCATCTAGTTCTGAATAGTTGCAGTACTACGTTTTGGTCTCCTGTTTTTCTGAATTATTCCTTGTTAAATTTCGCAAAACATTTCTTCACTTTGATCTGTATAATAGTCACAATGATGAACTATTGCAAATAGTGCTACCAACGATATGATAGCTTCAGTCACTCAAAAAAAAAAAACAGTGATTTGATCACATATCAATGGGTTGAACTAATTGCCAGAATTCACTGAACCTCCCAGAGGGAATACATGTTAGTGAAATTAGTCGAATTGTCGTGTACACAATGCTATGCAAAAGATAGAATTGTCGTTCTATATCGATGGGCATAACACGTTACTGTTAGCATTCACATCTTACAGATGACGTTATCAACAAAGTTATTCAGCATTTCGTCAGTTCTATTTAAATAAATAGAATAGAATCTACTTCATTTCATTGTTTCATCATTGTATTTCCTATATATATATATATATATATATATAATATTCAAGCAAAACAAGAAGGAAAAAAATGCAATGATTCATGTATTTTCCTGCACGAAAATGTTATTGATCACGCGAAATGCGTTTCTTTTCTATCTAAAAAGCTGTCATTGATAAGTCAGTGAAATGTATGATTTGTTTGACAGAAACAGAAATATTAACAATAATAATAACAGACATGTTTTATTCTCTCATGTCTAACATTTCCCAGTGGTATTTTATCAGTCATTTAATACATATATATATATATATATATGCATTTGTCGTTTACCTGAATAAGCTTGCATATCATAGGAACAACTAGTTTATATCATAGACACCTCAATCTTAGTAAGGCCGGTAGATTTCATGTCTCAACAACGAACACTCATTACTGTTCGTTTCACTACTGAAGCGAAAACTTTTGACCACATTAAGAGTTAAGACCGTTACTCTGACAGTACTTTGAATATTAATTCATTCATTTGAACAAAAGGTTATTTGTGATCTGAACCATTTTGTGACATTATTTCGCATAGGTTCTAATGTCTGATTATATATATAGTTAATTTCTGCTGATAAATATCAAATTCATGAAATGTAAAACATGCAAGGATTTCTACCGATCATCTCTTGACATCCTACTCGTAACTCGACTACCAAATGACTTCACCCTATGCTTGCTTGTTAACTGTAATCCATTTATTCTTACAGCAGGCTAGAAGAACAAACAAGGTAGCTTAAATAAATGAGTAATATTATATATTGCAGTGCTTTCAATATTTATTTAAGTTCATATGTTTGAAGCCGCTCTTGAATTAATTCATATCAATAAAACATATTTGTAAATAACGCTTCATAATAACTAGTACCACTCATTTTGATCATTATCATAGTAATATGATGTTCCTGAGACACACAGCATGTATACCAGCAAAACCAACAATTTACGAATACATACATGCAAATAGCATTTTGTCTTTAATTCCTAATATTGACATTTGCTGTATTTAAGACTTCAAAACAGAATAGCAATGAGCACAGATGAACGTTACCGAAGTCCTGTTTTGTAGAGTGGCAGCAGGAAAACCACTAAAGCTAAAAAAGTTTTAAACTCTTAACTAGGAATATTCTTAAGCTTAATCGCAATGTATTTTATGTGTTTATATGTGCGCTCAGTTGACTTCTACATTCTTTTAAAACATGTTTCCTACTGAGTAAATTTCCGAAAAAGATGTTACTTTTTCCTAAATCTATTTACTTCTGCTTATCATTGAGATCATTATGGCAGTCGTATTTAATATCTAACATGTAAATGTGCCAGTAAATTCTTTTTCAAAATGCATATCCATTCTTTTACAAAATTCTTGCTGATGCTTTAAAATATGAATAAAGATGATATGTCCAGGTAAAGAAGTGTTCACAACAGCTTTTTTTTCTCTTTTTTCGGCAGACATATCGTCAGTCTAGATAAATTTCCATCCTTCTTGATTTCCATCCCTTGATTTTTTTTCGTTCAGGCTATTGTTTTATTCTGTTCTTTCACCGTGTACTTGGTGAGAGTCAGAAGCGTATGAATTCGAGGACATGTACATATAAAACTAAGACTAGTTTAATCTTAATAATTACAACTTTTTAGCAGCGGATGTCGAACGCTTGATTATTCTTACAAGATGTAAATTGGAATATTTTCTATTGCTTACAATGTGGAAAATGATTAATTTCTACGTTTAAAAGCATATGCAGTAAACCCTAGTTCTCAGTAGAAGTCTAAATATCTAAAAAAGTATATGAAAATAAACAGAGCTAACACGCGTTCATTCTCTGTTTCATGACTAGCTAGTGCCAACAAAGAACCAACATGTCTGACCTCTCACTTACATTGCAGAGTTTTTAAATATATTCCTGTTGC